AATTTTTTTTGTTAAACCAAATAAGAATGCTGCCTTGGCAACTATCTGAAATAACTTAGTTTATGTTTTTTATATTTTATATCATATTTCAGTTAATGTCTCTTTTATTTCGAGTAACAGTAATGTGTTTTTTCCGTCCGTGTGTGAGGCTGAGGACAGCTCTCTGGAGTGCGGCTGGTGTCCTCCGCTGCCGGAGCTGATTTCAGGGAAAGCCGACAGCACCTGCCCCTGTCCTGCTGAATACGCTGAGGTCTGTCAACCGCTCATGAAAACATTCAGAACAAATCACACATTGTATTTTACTTGGTTAAAATGAAGCCTGTTTTTAAGACCAGTTATGACTGTTTGCATTCGTTCCTGTTTACACCCCTCGGCTCTCAATGCATCGTGTTTCCTTCTTGAGCATCAGTGAATGTTTGCAGCTTTTGTAATAGTTGTGTTTGAGTCCTTCAGTCGTCCTCAGTATGAAAAGATGGATCTCAGAATCATACAGTCACCACTTAAAGAGTTCAAATATGCAGAAGAAGAAACAACAAGCATCAACGGCACACCTGATCTCATGAAAATAATCTTTGCATGTGTTGTGGATTCAGCCGTATGAACGTCTCTCCTCCTGTTTGTCATCCTCTCGTCCTGTCAGCTGATTCGCCGATGCCGTGCTCATAACCCCGCCCACCGGCCCACCTTTGAGCAGATCCGCAAGTTTGTCAACAGAATCAACCCGCACAAAGTCAGTCCTGTAGACATGATGATGGAGCTGGTCAGTCCAACACACACACACACACACACACAGAGAGAGAGAAACACTTATATACACACACACTCTCACACACACACACACACACACACACACACATAGAGAAACACTTATATACACACACACACAGAGAAACACTTATATACACACATACACTCACACACAGACAGAGAAACACTTATACACACATACACACACACACAGAGAAACACTTATACACACACACACACACACACACACAGAAATACATATACACACACACACATGCATACCCTCAACCATCCAAGAGGCCTCAGCAACCGGCTCTATTAAACAGACAATATGGGTTTCTAATAGTAATAGTCCTACAACACAAGGCTTTAAGTAGCAGTATGCAAGTTAAAAGCTCCGCTCACTAATGAAGTCAGAGAACTTAAGTGGTCCTTTAGTGTTGGGACAAAATGCCAGCCTCTCTGCCTAGAAGTATAGGATGTATGCAAACAATAGCTTTTGACTCGGTGTAGTGTCCCTGTTTGTTTGTTTTTTCCTGCAGTCAATAAGGAGGCAGTTGGAAAAGGGTTTGTCAAACAAACCAACAAAAAAAAATTCACTCAGAAGCTGCTAAGAAAATTCAGAAATATTTACAAAGAAATGGCAAGTAACATTGAATTAAATGTGAAATTTTATAGTAAAAAACTAGAAAATAGACAAAAGCTGAAGTAGAAAATAGACAGAAAAAGTAGGAAAACTGAAACAGAATATTCTTGTAAAACATACTCCAATAATCTTTGTTTTATTTAAATTAATTTTCAATTTAAGAGACATTGGCATGCGATGATTGCATCCAGCTGCCGCTGATCACAGTGTGAGCATAAAAAGGTAGCAGGTGCAACGCATACCAGCTTTTCGCTTCGGAGCCGAGCCGGTGACCCGGCCAATCAGCGGTGGTACAGCAGCCGTGGCGACGGGACGAGACGTTTCCGTTCCCTTCTTCAGGGAACGAGGGTTACATACGCAACCGAGACGTTCCCTTTCAGTCGGTCACTCTGGACATGACGGTTGCGGAAGCACCAATTGGGATCCCTACC